ATGGTGGCATTAATATACATAAGTATAATAACAATACGATATTGATATGAATGGGAATGAGGTGTAGGGTGAAAAATTCTGGCACAGGTTGACCTTTGGTAAGGGATAGGCATAAGGTCAGAAAATGTAGCACAGGTTGATCCTGGTGCATGGGATAAAATAAAATAGAACGGGGTAAAAATTTTGGGTACAATTTGACCTTGCTTATGATAAAAAAATAGTGGATGAGTCGAAAGTGTGACGTCATGGAAAAATACCGACAGTTTGGGCTCTGACAGAATTTTTTAAATTCTTTGAATGGATGTTTTACGGTGGTTTAATACCCTGTAGGCCTACATGTATTCGTTTTACAAATTCAGTCAGAGCGCAGTGTTACTGTTGTTCTTTATTGTGGGACCTAAATGTAAAATACAGCATTATATATNAAAAAAAAAAAAAAAAAAGGAAAGAAAAAAAAAAACAGAACGATTTCAATACCTGGTTCGGCTGAACTGCCGAACCAGCTAATTACGAATTCTTGGGGGTGGCATGACGTCAGTTGGGGATTTTTAACACGTAGCAAAAAGGGTAAATTTATTCGTCTTGCTGTGGAATATTGTGCAGAAGTTCCAGCCGATATCCGACCTAAGAATTATTATTCAATAATAATACCGATAAGTATAACACAAAACACATTCAGTGGACTTCACATGTTGGTTTCGGGTAGGTTGGTTTTAGTACCGTTTTATTTCCCGTTGTTCACCATTGATTTTTTACAATAATTACCTTAGTAATTTTAAGAATTACTACAAGGGTGAGTACCGGAAGTTTGTTAATTTTGAAATCAGAGTTATTACATGTACTCATTCTTTTTGAAACCATTTGTCTCTACAGACTGTTATCTTTTAGGCATGCTCCTCTTCGTCATGAAACAGTCCGGCAAATTTTTCAGCATGTTTAGGCAAAACTCTGCTCCAGGCTTTGTTGGCGTGCATGCCTTTATCAAGTTTTCCATCGAGATCATTCACATGTCCTTGTGAGTTTCATTTTCCCTCAAATACAGGTAACTTGACAGGAACTCCTTATAGTTGTCGAAAAAGTCTTGTTTGACTGCCCAGGGGGACTTTCTGTTTGCCTTTGCTTGGCTTGATCTTCATCCATGCCTTCGTTGACGTACTTGTCATATTTTTAATCCTCATCCCCCTTTGTGTTTCTCTGGCTTCAGCCAGCCAATCTTGGTAGGCGGCATTGTCTTCCAAATCTGAACTGTCTTCATTCGGGGTTTCGTCATCGACCTCCTCAACAGAATCCGAGTTTTCGTCAGCTTCATTCATGTCTGATTCCTCCTCAAAATGGATGTTTTCCATCATGTGCCTCTCTAGATTAAACGTCCGTCCGAAGCATTTGTCACACTGGTGACGAGCATAGGACTTGGCTGCATAAATACCATTCATGTTGACTCTGCGAAGGATGACCTTTAAACGACACGAAACAAATGAAATCGTTCCATATATCCTAAATATTTACTGTTTCTGATTTGCATATTTCATTGGTTTTTTCATTGTTTTAAGGTTCAAATTTGAATTTTTATTACTCAAACTGCTCTATGTATTGCTCAGTTTTACTCATTTTATTACTCTTTTCATTGTTCAAATTGTTCTTTTTATCGTTCAAATTGATTTTTTTGTGGTGTAAATTGATCTTTTCATTGTTAAAATATACTCTTTTCATTGCTCAAACGGATCTTTTATTTTTGTTGTTCAAAATAAACTTTGTATTTTTCAATTGGTCTTTTTATTGTATGAATTGGTCTTTTTAATGTATAAATTGCTGTTTTTATTGTTCAAATTGCTCCATTTATTGCTGAAATTGTTCTTTTTATTGCTATTTTCATTGTATGCTCTTTTTATTGTTCTAATTGGCCTTTTTATTCCAGGGGGGGAAGTAAATGCCAAACCTACACAGTCCAATGAGATCTTTAAACTCGATGGGCTTTTGGCAAAGCTTACCAAAGTTTGCTTCGGAGACGGATCGGATTAGGGATTAGGAGACGATTCCCTGTCGTCAAGATCACAGTGTTGCCTGCAAACTCGGCATGTTTAAAATCACCGCGCATGTGTCGGCCCTTTGTGCTGGACAAGATGGGACATGTTTCTCACTTGTTTACGTCCGTCGTTCGCGTTACGCGTTGACTCAGTGCCGTGACGTCACGGACTAGCTAGTCCAGTATTACACATCAAAGGCTTCGTAATGGCCCGCACTACCACTTCGGACGTATTGGGTTGTACCATTTTCTTACCGTGGGTAGGTAGGTTCCCACGTTGTTGATTTCCCTTCTGGGCATAACCGTGTGCGAGTATACATGTCTCTATTTGTGTACGTATAACATATTTGTATAGCTTATTTTGAGTTTTTATTTATTATACATTTACTTCAATGGAAACATTCGCCCAAAATTGATTGATATGCCTCTATATACAAACCAAAGCACATGTACATATTTGAACATAAACCCTACAACAGAAATCTTTCCTTTTTATAAAGCACACTCCATTCTGTCCTAATATTGAAGTCATACGTTTTTACAGATAAAATACAGTACGCAGAAAATGGACAAAATCAAAAGAATATGTCAATTATCAAAAGTTGATGCCTCGCTTATTGAACACCCCTCTTAGACATGGTACGGGCTGGCTCGCTCTTCAAATGATGTTAATGAGGCTGAATTTCAGCCAAATCCGGCTTTCTGATTGGTCGAGAGGCTAAAATGATGACGTAATAGCGACTATACTGGCCCTGGGCACTACTACGATACCAGACTCGAAACGAGTCCGACTACCCAATGTCACGTGACCAAGACTGGAGGAATTCCTGCAGTTTTCCGGAAATAGCCGAAATATTCCGAAATCGTCCCACGTATTAAGCATGTTCGGATGGTACCCTTGACGTTCGGTTATTCCCGGCCGGGCAGGAGGGCTGAACGCATAGAGGTAAATATAACTCTATGGCTGTAGACTCCTGTAATGGCAGCTGTTGATCCAAAAGTATTTGACTTTGCTCTGAAATCAAAGATTGTCTTGACCGAAATCAATGTCATCACTAAGAATATCCAGGTGTCCTCTGAGAAATGGCCCACACATAGCCTATATAACATTCGTGTATGGGTGTATTATGTACGTGTGCATGTACAAGCACAAGCGCTGCAGGGCATGCGTGCAAAATGAAATCAAAATCATCCGGGCTCTCAACTTGTGACCCCTGGCCCCTGGGTTATATCTTTATATATCCGCGGGCAATGCCTGACCTAAGGGTGCACCCTCGTATTAAGGCCAGAAATATGTCCGCCGAGCTCATTAATAAAAGTTATACTCTCAAAATATTCTATATTGGAGGGTCCTGAGAGCCATGGAACTGGGAAATTGAAGAAATATGAGACTGAACCTCTGGGCCGGACTCAAGGCTTCCAATTCTGAGCACTTTGGATGCGATTGGGTCCGAACGTGGCACTATTTGAGCCATTTTGCAGAGGGATGCATTTTCAAAATGGCTATTTTCCCGGGTAGTAAAATTTCCTTCATTTTAAAGGTGGTCTGCTTTGGGTGAGAATTTCTCAAAAATTCATTGGTCAACCCAATAAAAATTGAAAGGAAAATGAAAGAGGACACGTGGAACATCATTTTTCTGTGCAGCCTGAACACCTGTGAGTATTTTTAAAAATATTTGTGAAGTATGGGGATTTATCACTGCTGTCTATGGGAATTTATTTTTAGGGGTGCACCCCTAAGATTTTTATCACGGGTCGACAGGGAATCTTTGGGCAGGGAACCAGACTAGAAAAGCACCGCGACCTTGTTAGAGCGCCACCACCTCTCTGGCAAGTAAATCTGACTGATTATAGCATAGCAGTGCCGTAAAGAAATGAACGACTCGAGATGTAATAAAGGCAAATAATCCAGTTTAGCTGCACAAGATAAATCTCAAATCCTGGGTATGTAGAAATGTGAAATGGAAAATTATGAATAAATGAAATTTGTGACCACTTATTGATGATGAGAATGCCAAACAAAGACATATTTATGTCAGCGCTGTCTTTGTGGGTTTCCACATCCTCCGTGTTTTCCAGAAAACAACTCTCTGCAACCACACAGAACGGGAGTGGATTCCTCATTGAATCACACAATAGAGGCAATGCAATGGAAAATCATACCTAAGTACTTTGTATGAATTTTGAGGCAACTGTACTCGGAATAAATTTCACCTCAAAAAATACAAGAGGGACGACAGTGATTTAAATTTGAAAGCTGGGGCATTCGCAGCTCGGGAAATTTATTTTTATACAAACAGGAATATTTTGTAGTGTGAGTAACCGTGTTTCATAAATTTCTCGTACCTATGGTAATTCTTGCCCAGTTTTTGACAATCCCCACAAGAAACTTTACGTGCAATTTACATACCTCCTTGCCTTTTAAAATACCATTCTCTCTTTCTTTATCCTTCTCATTTTGTTGCCTTTCCCGGGAATGATTTAAGATAGGTGAGTGACGTATTCCCACCCCAGGATTTGTGCTATTTGAGTTTCATCACAACGCCTGACATGGAGCCGGCTTTTTTGACGTTCACAGTCCTGGTTTTCCGCCGGCATGTGGCTGCTAAAACTGTAGTTGGTCACCGGTATAAAAGTAAAGAATAAGTTACAAAGTGTTAAAAATCCATGGCCGCTGTGAGAACACCAGATAATAATGCACGTACTGCTTCAAACTAAATGACTACAATCCTATTCAAAATTGTGACAAATGTCCATTTTGAACGAACTTGAAGTAAAATCGAAAAGCAACCAAAAGGTGATATTCTGCCAACTCTGATCACCCGTACAAGTCGTATGCAAGATGAGCGTGGTCTTACTTGGCCACACGTCCTTCATTAGAACCACTACCCGCCAATCGACAGCGGGCGTCCTTCTAAGAAGATGGAGTGTCCAATGTAAAATGCTGGGTACCAGTTAAACATAGGGACGTCACGCGTGTGACTTCAACCTCGTACAAATTTCTGTGGTTAACGTGTCAATTCAATTGTCATTGACATTGAGGCCCGGGAATGAGAGCAAAGACGTAAACCTCGAGTATTTTGAGGGCTGAATTTTGTTGGGAAGTTATCGTTAAAAATGGATGACCTTTTGGAGCTAGATGTGCACGAAGCTGAGGAGGACGAAGAGTTCAAAGTAGATGAAGAATCTGACCGTATGTAACCAATTTGAGCAAATGATTAGGAAAACATGTTGCATGCTGACTCAAGTTCAGCAGTTGTGTACAAAGCCTATGGGGAGTGAAGAGAATTTTCTAAGTACTTCCCAACAACATGTGTAAATGTTTCTCAGTCCAGAATTCGTGTCTTTCCAGCATTTCTTTGATGACTGACTTTTATTGAGATGATATATGATGAGAAAAGTGGAGTCAGGATGCAACATTTTTCCCAGTGGAATGATTAATTTATGAACGTAAACTTTAAGCCCTTGCTCAGCGGCATCAGGCCAGGAGAATTCCGAAGGCAGATATTTTGAGGCTGAGCGTAACATTATGTGGTACAGTACTAGTACTTTCACATTTCATGTGCACAAGCAAAGAACAGGGTCTTGCTACACAGTGTCAGCAAGCGTCAACAGTTTACACTCACTTTGCCCCATTCCCACATCGCCCCATCCCCACTTTGCCCCATTTCCACTTTGCCGCCCATGCTTGAGTCAAGTGTGTTACAAGCCTCTCCAAAAAATGTTAAAGAGGGGAGTTCCCTAAACGGCATGTAGATGTTATAGAAAACTCTACGGCATTAAATTAATGCAGACTGCGTTGTTCATCATTGTGAATTAATAGTACATATGGTTGGACTAGCATTGGGGTTATTTCTCATCACAGACATGCATGGTCGCCGGGCATGCATAGACTGGTTGCCACACTCCATCACGCATTCTCTTACACGGGTGCGGCGCGGCGGGAACCAGCGCTTTGCTCACTCAAACGTTGAATTTTTTACTTGTGGCATCTAGTCCTAGGCGTCTGTTACTAAAGAACAGAATGAAAGATAATCTATTGGGTGAAGTGGAAATGGAGCGAAGTTGGGATGGGACGAAGTGGAAATAGGGCGAAGTGACCGACACTTGCGTCAACGAGTGTCAACAAAGCGTCAACAAGTTATTCAAGAATATTTATGCAAAGATGTTTATATTAAATGTTAATTTGGATCCCACATATTGGTAATTCCATATGAACTCAACCAGAGGTCCTATGGTGACCCCTTCAGATTAAGCTCTTTTTTGGGGGGGGGAGACATCTACATGTACACGAACGAACGTATGCAAAATTTTAGGCTTCTATTCCTGACGGATCTTGAGATACACCCTCCCAAAAGTTCTGGCCATGCGCACTTTTTACACTCGCGAACCATAAATGTTAAATTGCTAGGGATTTTGGAGACCAATTTCTTAAAAACGAATAGGAATTACTGGCTGAATGAATGTATCCTGGGTAATTAGTGCCCAGACTTTCAGAATCAGAAATAGCTTATCTTGTATGGTTTCAGAGTTTTTGGCCCCTGAACTTTTAAATTATTGAAAATCGGGAAATAAAAAATTTTATTTTTGAGTGGCGCCTTTAGTCTGGCATGTGTTTTCTAGGGCTTATAATGCTGTATTCCTTTTATTTGGGGACATATCTGCTGGTAAAAAGAAAATTGACAACAGAGATGATTTATTTTAGAAGTTATGAGCCCTTGAAAAGTCTCCCAGTTGTAAAATGGGGACATTTTACCTATTTTCGGCTGGCAAATTCACCCTGTGGGCAATTACCCATGGAATTAAAATTTTTGCCACTTCAGTAAAGTCAAGAATTTTCTGCTTTCTGAAAGGCAAATTCTGCTTTCTTCCACTTTCTAAATTTTGTGTACAAAAACTGTATATAACTTTACCTATATGTATGTACTGTAGGCCTGCATGTACATTTACCGTACAAATAGGGCCTACATGCACCATGCCACTGTGATCTTGGACTGGTCCCGTCCCTATTGATTTATTCATAAGCTGTGAAACATCTGGGCACTTATGCTGTTTTGGTGCCTTGTTAGGGGTACCAGACATGCCAAATAAGTGGGAGGTCCTATTTTTACCGGTGAAAAAAAGGATGTCTGCTTTCAGAAATGGAATGTACCGGTAGGCGTAACTTCAAAATTACTCAAAGGAAGGGACCTCACCTATGCTTGATCCTAGCCTGAGTGACTAGGACTCTACAGACACCACCTGACGACTTGCCTCTTTTAACATGTTTAACATTTACACATGGTCGGTGATAAAAAGAGACGATTCGTAGAGTCTTACCGGTAGTTAGTAGTTACTCAGACTAAGCTATACTTACATGTAACTGATAAAAGGCTCTTGTTTTGAAAATCTTGTTATTCCTTTGCGTTGTTGTGATGGATTGTTTCTTCATGCATTGTATTTTTACTTGCAGAGAATATCCAGAAACTGAAACAAAATGCCAGGAAGCGGAAAGGAAGAGGCTTTGTGGCAGGTCAGTGATAGCTTTGTGTTGAATGTCATTTCTTGAGAAGGTGGTATTTGCCGAACTGCCTGCCAGTGAACTGCATCGCTGACAAGAGTTCTACATGTACATGTACTGTAACTGAATGTTTGGCCCTTCCAAAAGGCAGACGGGCTTCACACTTGGATACAAAATGGTGGTCCGCCTTGCAGTGTGTGAGTGCAAGGGAGACCCCCCCTCAAAGTCTCCAACATTTGAGTCCTCACACTCCACTCAGATTTTGGGGTACAATATCAGCCCAAATACTACCCACTGAGGAACAGTACCCAGTGGCCCTAAACATCTAAAGGCCCATTTACGCAGACAAACGATAATAGGAAGTGATGACTAAAAGTCGTGTATAGTACCAAAGTGAATACATGTATGTCACCTGCACAATTACGCATGTACAGGGGTTTCGATAATTTTCTTCAATACCCACTTCCTTGCTTAGAGGAGAGTACTGTTTGGCCCTTTGTGTTGTTTGGTATGGTACCCTTCTTCATCAGAGGGAGAGTACTGCACTCTCTAAGAGCTGGTTCCTCCAGCGAGTACCTGTATTATGCGAGTTAGTCCTTTTGCCTTAAAAATATAATAATACTTGTTATTTCTCTTAAAAAACCACAGTAAAAAAAGGAGCGCTTAGTGGTAACCATGAACTCATGACACCATAGACAAAATCACATCAGTCCCTATCCACCTGTGTACAGCGGCATGTGTGAGGCTACCGCGTGTGAATGTCATGTTGTCTGTGTGCCAGTGGCATACATGTAGCCATGGGGGGCCGGGGGGGGGGCATGTGCCTCCTGGGTGCCCTCCCCTACTAAAAAAACAGATGAATGGATAACAAGGCTAACACAAGCTTGCCTCCAAAAAACCACACCGCTGAAAGCTTTGTAAGATCGTTAGATTTCTGAATGCTGATCAAACAATTTATGCCCACGCAGTGTCAACAGCCCCCTAGGAATCCACCCTGTTCTGCTTGATCGTTTCTCACAGCAGGGACCACCATTATCACCCATTAGTGTGAATGGGCCATAAGTAGTGCTCATTAGCCATTCAGAGAGTAAGAAATCTTTGGCAGTTAACTGACCAGCTATTCCGCCCTCCTTTCTGTGTTTTTTTTAGATACTGCTGGTATTCGGACTGCGGATACCGACTTTGAAGCCATGGATATTGACACAGGAGAGAGTGGACCCCAACGATGTATGTAGGAATCGTGATTAGTCAGGGTTATTAGACGTTTATATCCCAAGTTCTTAGTTAAGTTAGATTCATCAAAGCTTAATTTTATTTGCGAGAAGTCCCTGTTGAAGCTTGGAGAATCTTCTGGATAAGCTCCCAAGATGTATAAAACACAGTTCCATGCAGAAACTCTCTCTGTGACTCTGCATCAGCAAATAATGAAGGTCCATCTCAGTCTTAAAAGTTCAGGAACTTCAGAAACTGCGTAGATCAAGAGACAAAGTGAAAAATATGGCTGTTCTCTGGTGAAGAAATTTATGAAATGGATTTTTCTGGGCTAAGAAGTATTGAATAGGTTCCGTAGGTTTAAACGTGAGGAATTCTTAGTAGCTACATTCTTCCATTTTCCAAGGAATTTGCTGTGCCCTACCCTTGATAATTATCGTACATGTACATAACCATTGCGGACAGATATTTATGTCATGATGTGTCTGGCAGAAGGGCATGCAGGCATTTCTTTTTTAAACCTGACCCGTGTTGTAACAGCTTTCCTGATACGCCGTGTCCCAGGTAGGAGATGATGTGCAAAATAAGGCTTTGTGCATGTCACAGAGCTGGCAAAGTGGGTTGCACGGACTGTACACCAGTTGTGCCAGTAGCCGTGTCCAAACAGGTTTCCAGAGCTAGGTTTGTGTCTGTTATCAGCAGGTCCCTGTGTACTTGTACACATTTCCAGTTGGCAAAGATCTAGACCCAGGTCCTGACATCGGATTCAGATGCAGCCCTATGCATGAGGTTCAGTACCCCTTAAGCTCATTCAACTGCATAGCACTGTTTGTAGAAGGCGCACTGATTTGATACCGGTGGGTTTTTTGTTTTCTGTTGCAGCGGTGGAAGGCTGGATTCTGTTTGTTACAGGCGTCCACGAAGAGGGATCCGAGGAAGAAATCCGAGACAAGTTTGAGGAGTATGGCATTATTAAGAACATTCATGTCAATCTGGACAGGCGAACAGGCTATCTGAAGGTGATGTGAATCATGTGGCCCATTAACTTGGCATCAAAATAATGAAATTGGATGAAACTTGGCTTAAAATTGTCTAAATAAACATTGTAATCTGAAATCATGGATTGTCTTTGCAGATTGTTTTGTGAGATTCATTTTGGTTTGAGAAGACTACAGTGTCAGCCTTAGTTGACTATCTCCGTCAAATTTAAACTGAGAATTTCTGTATTGTTACTCTTTTGGCTTTGTTTGATAAGTGGATGAAATGAAGACAGATTGTAGGTTCAACGTTTTATTTGTGGAACTTTGCTTTTTTTCACTTTAGCATCAGTCGCACTGGTGAAAGTACTTTGATACTCATTTCTTTCAGTGGATCCGTGAGAAATTAACCCGGAACGTTAAACTTAAAAAGCTTCACACCCGCAGCCTCATTCAGTTGACAAATAACGACTTGAACACTGAGATTATCAGGCTCTTCTGCTGGTTAAGATAAGATTTAGCAGCGTGAATGCAGTCAGTGATGGATAAGACATGTCTGTATCTAGATGATTCACAGGAAACAGAGGTTGGCCCCATCTGTTGGCCAGAATGGAAATCTTTGCACATTTCCAAGAACTCATGTGAAACAGACTTCTTGAAAATTTCTAAGTGCTTGGAAAGTAATGATGCTGCCCGCGCATCAAAGCAAACGGAAGCAAATTCTGTGCCCCTTGATTTGGTTCCCATAGTAACCGTGTTAGACTGACCCCTGCCCTTTTTCCTGTTCCCCGTCTTTGTCCACACCTCAGGGCTATGCTTTGGTGGAGTTTGAGACCTTCAAGGAGGCTCAGAAGGCGATGGATGCCCTCAACGGCAGCGAGATTCTGGGCCAGGAGATCACCGTGGACTGGGCCTTCGTCAAAGGACCCCACAAGGACCCCAAGAAGAGGTATGTTGGGGTACAAACCACAAAGACATACATGTAATTTGCAACGACTTATCTTTTGAGGGAAAGTCCCTGAAACGCTGAACCATTTCCCAGCCTGTTGGAACTGCCTTAAATTTTCAACAGCCCCTCAAGAAATCAAATTTAGTGTCTGTGTGATAGATCGTGTAAAAAAAATAGTAATGGACAGTGAATGTTTTCTGGGGCACAAGCAAAAATAGAGAGCATTTGACAGGATTTGATCTTTACAGCGGCCACTGCCACGATGCCCCAGTGAATTGCTGTGATGCCCTTTAAAAATCGTGCGTACCTTTCAGCCACTTGGCTGCCGTGCCCCTCGTCAATGATCAGTAGGCTTACACAACTTTCAAGTTACCGTTTAGCGCTAGCATTTCTGTCAAGGGCTAGCCAACCGCACTGCGCTGACCGAGCACTATTTTTTTCCCAGACTGGTTTTGCATCGCCCCCGTAGACAACATGGTATGGCAACCATATCAACTTGGTTGACTCGTGTTACTTTAAAAAGTGGCACCAGACTACTTTTATAAATAGACTTGTTTCAAGTCGCTGGAAAGAATTACACGATTGGATTCTGTACACAGCACATTGAGACCGAGTCACTATTATTTTGGGATCACGGATTGGAGTACCACCCAGTTTATTTTTTCCCTCGCTTTTTTATATTTTTATATTATTTTTTAAAAATATTATTATTTTTATATTTTATATTCAAGCTGGTGCTGGGCATGTTCGTTACCCAGTGACTGACTTGCTTGAATTGCATTGTTTGTATTTACATTGATTTTCGAAATGCAGTGTTGCCTTTATGGCATCATGAAAAGAAATAAGACAAAAAACCAAATGGTAAATTAAAAGTTAGGACAGTATTATTTATTTTTATGTCTCTTTTTACCATTCAAGCAGACTGCTCAGCATGTCACGGTGATCAGAAACAATGAAATTTGTTGGTGGAAGGTTATAACACCATGTTGAAATTGAAGGAAAGTCTTTGAAAGTCACCAACAAGCATGAGAAATAAAAGTTTCAAAGTGGCCCTGGTGCCCTTTCAGTTGGCCTTGGTGCCCATTGGTTTTTGGGAGCACTCAAGGCCAAGTCGCCTTGACCCCCCTTTCCCATCTTTGTGGGCATTCACAACACTCATGCTGGGATCCTCACTGAGTTCCGTAGTTTTCGCCATGTTCTCAACAACTGAGGAAGACTCCGCGATTGCACTCTAGAAGCAGAATATTGACAATGACATTCCACAAATCAACTGAAATAGATAAAATTTGTAACATATTCCTATAGAGGAAATATGCATTGTTGCATATATTAAAAACGACATGTCTGGAGCAGGTGCATTTAGGAGGAATGTGGCCAAATACCATGACATGCAGAAGAGCATGAATAATTCTGAGCATGTCAGAATTTAATTGATGTAGTATTCTCTTTGTTATGTAAATGAGGGGAAACCAAAGCCTTTAGTCATTTATACCTGACAGCTAAAAGTATCTAATTATGCCCCAAATATTATTTGCCCACCTTTCATTCTTTAGAAAAACCCCAAAAAAACTAAAACTTACAAGGGGTATGAATAATTTTGTTAACTATTTCTCGTTGTGAAATGATGTTTTGTGTCCTTAACTTTGTGATTTGGGTGAAATCTCTCTTGCCATTTCTTACAGGAGTGGTCGCAGAAGATGAGAAGGCTTAGTCCATTAGTTGTTAAAATCACGGTTCATCCTGTCCAAGGTTTCAAGTCGCTGCCCCTCTCATGAAGGAGAGTCCTGAGTATTGGAAAACATACCCACGAGTGTCGGTGCACCAAAGCCATATTGTAGGATGTAACATTTGAAAGAGAACTTTTTTCCCTTTTGTGTAAAGTTTGGTAGCATGTAGGTTTGCATTATAAGGTCGAATTACCAGTACACGCAATTTGTACATAAAGAAAACATGTGGTTGAAGTGACGGTTTACTTGAAATGAAATGAAAGATGTTTTAAGATTATTCTTTCAAATCGCGGTAGGCCCTAATTCGGCCAAACAAGTATTTTGTCCCTGTTTTTACAAACCGGTCTCATAACTCATAACAGAATGACATGTACTCCAGTCTTAGAATCTGCAGTGCATCAGTTCCCGTATGTTGTGACACGGAAAAGTGTGCTCAGTTTCAAGCCCCAAAGTCAATAAAATGAAAATGCCGAGCGTTTTCGAAGCGAGCGGCTTCGGCTTAGACTTCGGTTTCGCTGGTTCCAGTCAGAGCTTGAACATGTGGTTTTGAACACTGCTTCAAGAAGGCTTGAACCAGCGAAACCAAAGTCCACACGCCGAAAACGCTCTAGGATTCACTCTGGCCACCCCCAGTTGACTGTTTGCACTTCAACCATTTTGTCACGGATAGGAATCTTTAAAGGGGTACTTAATGTCATTAGGACCATTGCTTATACATGTCTGAAGCTTGTTTTTTTCCTAGTTGGAATGTGTTTTAGTCTGTTGTTTTTTGTTCCTCAAGTAGCAAGTTTGTTCTGGCACCCTAAGTTACACAGTCTAAGAGCCATTTTCATGGAATTAGAAATCATTCTCTGGTTCTAGTTCGGAGTTTGAAAGGGGTTTTGGAGAACTGTATTTGGGCAAATAGCTATGTAAATGTGGTCCGTTTTTATTAAAATCGTTGTTTGGACCAAAATTTCTGTGAAATTCTGCGTGTTTTTTTTCGTCCAAGTCATATTTTCTGGCTTCTAGCAGCGCCCAGCCCAGGGAAATTATACGGAGCTTCGTGTCTAGCTGGGTGGAACATTTTCAACAGCGCCCCAATCTTGAAATCTGTGAAACGCAGGATTTATTTGTTTTTTGTTAGTAGTAAAGTACACACTGGGCCCAAATGACATGCGCCGATCAAAACACAACTTGCACCCTCAAATTTTCTGCTCTTAGTGCATTTTTTGGTCAGTTGAGTGGATGGTTTGTTCCAAAGAGGGATAGGTAGGCCTATTTCTGAAAGAATCTGGACAAAAAGCCTTGCAAAAGTGACTTAAGTTTTTGATGAAGTGTAAAGGTATCAATTTTAAAGATTTTTTGGATTAAAAGTATGCATTATTTATGAAACGGGCAGCGTTATAAACGGAAGGAGTGCTGAATTTGAAAATCTCAATACAGAAACATAGTATCTATGAACAAACTGCAGTAACCAAAAGTAGACGTGTTAAATTTTATAGCGAGTTTATTCTGCGTATGTTGTGTTTTGAACGGGGATAGTGAGATAAGCACTATTTCATAATGCCAAATCTATGTATTACATAAGATCGACCTCACGCCCATTCGGATTTCATTTATGTTTCATACAATTACCTCGTGCTCTTGGATTTTACAGCGCTTCAATATGAAACATTGACTCGATGAAACATGGACCCGTGGCTGTCTTGCGCATGCCCATGGTGAACCAAATGAGAACCACTACCTTTCAGTCGTTCAACAACATTTATTTCCATAATGCCATATAGAAGAATAATATAAATTAATTATCATGAGATATATTTAGAACAATATTACTAGTATTTACACACAGAGAAAACTTGACAGGGGTATATACATAGATGGAATGAAGATGGCTATATGGGGGCATCTTAAGAAGCTGGAAGCTTATATATAAGATGCCCTGACAAAACAAAACAAGATCCAATCGACAAACTAATAGATTGACAAAAAAACACTCGGACTAAGACATACACGTGGGATGAATGTTAAAATAAAACGATGAATACGTTAAATGTTTCAAGATATGAGCGACAGAGTCCATGTAAAAGGAAGACTAGATATCATGGGGTCCCAGATTTCACGTGACACCGCACATAGATGGTACATGTTCATTGCATCAATTTTATACTTCGTCTTTTTTTGGCAGTGCATGGTCTTGGCGTTAATTAGGCCTATGTTCTGATGACGTCACTATTTATTTACACATGCATTTTTCTATGGAACTAGTGGGGCCCACAGTCCACTGCGTGCCTTAGGAAAGCACAAATATAAAGTGTGCCATCATCAGTACAGAGTGTACGGGCAAGGAGGCGATCACTTGCAACACTTTGAAGTTCAACGATCGCGACGACACGCAGTTTTGTGACATCCCGACCATCAGACCAATTCATATTTGCAAATACGATGAAACAACTTGGACCTCAAGAACGAGATGTTAAAATTTATCTTCAGGATAAAGCTGAAAGTCAATGGTAGATTCAGAGCAATATGAGCCGCTGGAGCTGGCCAGCTGTGGAACGTGCGCACACACGCAATGCAAAAACAGGAAAAACGCACGTGACTCACGTCAACCTGAGATCTGTTCGAGTTGGATGAGATTCAGAAGCACTCATCGGGTTTACTGACGACAAAAGTGAATTACTGATGACGAATCCAGACGCCATAACTGAGGTTGCATCGCATTCTTAGGCACGTTTTTCAGCTTGACGCGTGCGTGCATGTGGCAGATCGCGACACCCTATTGATCGAAGAGGCATGTAACGCGCGTACCACCCGTCCGTGAGTGTTGTGACGGCAAAGTATGGAGGTTTTTCACCTGACGTAACTTGACAGGCAAAAGCATTTCAGGGAGCGTACCATGTCCGTGAAGGCGCATGCATTTTGGAATCTGCGTATTTCCATTGGCAGTTTCATGTACGCCATAATGTTGAGAGTCTTGTCTTCGAAGCCGCGTGTTTCTGCGCACATCCGTGTAAATTGAACGCTAACCGTCAAAAATTACGTGATTATAAATTTATATTCCTGTAATTCTGGTTATCGAATCATACTATAGTGAGACGTGTAACATCATTATTTTTTTGTTGAAGAGCTACGGGCCGCCTGCCCCCAACCGCCCTGTAGGCCCAGTGGTAAAGGCAAATCCTTTTTTTTTCCATACCGAGGACGCAGTTTCAAGGATCGCAGGCAGGGGAAACAAACGTGGTCGCAAGAGTTTATAATCACATCAGTTGAGCTCGAGAGTGTTCGCATTATGCCCTGATTGAGGCATGGACATCAGACATGAGAGCATATTGAGTGGGGTGTTCGTGTCAAAGACCCCTCTTTTTCATCAAGTCTTTTTTTAGTCCCCGCAGCGGGGTTCGGGTAGGGGTGTCGGGGTGGGGATATAATTAACCCCTGTCTTCTCGCTCTAATCCATCGGGAGTGATCCCGGATCTTGTACTCCTTCCACAGGTGAAAACCAGCCAGCATTTGAATACACAACGGCCTGCCATTCTGCCATTCCCGTCATTGTTTGTAATCCCTCGCGCCAGCGGGTACCACCCCCTCCGATTTATTGGAGACCACCGCCAGCCCTGGCCGATGACTGACGCCGTGTCGGGGGACCAAGACATTGCCGGGAGTTCCCAGGCAAAGGAGTTCAAGTAACTAGGTCAGGACGGAAAACATGACAGGCTGTACACACGCACATGAGTCCACCGACTTCCATCCTTCGTCACTTCCGCGTCGCTGTGTGGTCACCGACGACAAGACGGCCCCCCAATGATGAACGCGCTGCGCATTCTCGTCAAATTACACCTCGTGTGCTACTGACAGACGAGATCTGAAGGGCGGTCAGTTCACAAAAAGTGCAATCTCGGCGTGTTGAGAGAGAAGATAAACTGGAATAATAAATAAAATTCAATATTTCACCCATGTCCGGCATTAAATTCCGATGGTGATGGAGAAACTGTTTTTCTAAAAGTTTCGTGAAGCGCAGGAAACCAGTTTTTCATTAAAAAAAAGTTTTCAGGTTATCGTTTAACATTCAAGGGCGGCTGTAGCGGTAAAGGAATCATATAATCCTACTTTGATGACATGAATACAATGAAGTAGGCCTACAACTTTATTCACGTGACGATAACTTTCCATCTATGAAGCAGTAAAAAGGGAGACTTGGTACTACGATCATGTCATACCATCAGTCGTTCTGGAATTGAAATTATTTGTCAACGGTTGAAGTGCGTTTTCAGTTTGTGTCTTCGTATAAGTTCTAAAACACCATGTCTGCTGAACGTGAAAAATCAGACTGATTCTCCTCCAAAATGGTTTCTAACTGAGACGTCAAGAGAGTGCTTTAGAGCAAACACGTGCGACCAATATATTTTAACCGACACGCCGATGCGCCGAGTCTGTGCCACTTTCCGTCCAGGAACGGAGCGAGACATTCGTCGTTTGGATTAAATTTGAGACCTTCGGTGAGGACAAAAAACGCAGAGCTCACGAGAGAGGTATGACAAAACTTGCTGTGAAGAGGCTGATCCGGGTTTTTTTGAAAGTTCGATTTTTTTCGATTGGGGGGGTTAATTAAATTTGTCGCCATTGTTGAAGCCATTTATTCTCTTTGTTTTGTTCTTAACCCAGCACTTAAACAAGGATCTGCACCTGCTTAGATATATGATATGGTGTTTTAACACCCCCAGGGACGCCACAATATAGCCAATAATTGTTAAATCTTACCTGCGCCAAATTCTGCCATCATAACAAATACACCAACCAACATCTGGGTGACTTGTGCATATCTTATTCAAGGTAACTTTATTCATTATAATACAGTTGTTTTGTACAAACATTACATAGTATCAAGATACTATACTTCATTCACAGTACGTTGTTTAGCTATATGGCTTACTTAAGTTATTTATACAACTTTGCAAAAATTTGGTCCCTTTATAAATTATGCAAAGGAGGTTTGAAACTCTTTGACATTTGCACAAAGTGGGACTTATTTTATTCGGAGCTTATAAGCAAAGTACGCAGATACAAAAATCATGAAAAATGTCAAAAACGTGACTTGAATTCTTCAAAATTTTAAGCTCTATCGAGTTAAATAAGGCAAAGCAAAAGCATATTTATTTTTGATCCAGCATTCATAGCACGGTCAAATCTGACCTCAAGAATATCTAAGAGCCGAACAATCGTGTCTTAGGCCTAAACACGACTGAGATTGTAACAATGACTGTTTTTTTGCTTGATTTCCTTTGAGGGTTTTCGTGATATAACGGGGGGGGGGGGTTTCATTAAAAAAAGAGGTATACTCATTTCCCGCGCCCTCGGGCACGTCCTTTCACAAAAATTCATCGAATGTAAGTTTTCCAAGCAACAAGTCAGTTGTGTTGCAGTTTTGACCTGATGCATGCGAGGCTCCGGTTACAACTTAACTTCACTCAGGTCAGAGGGTGGCTTTATTCAATGCGATCACTGGATCAAAAGTTGACATTCTCAGACCTGGAAGGGAGTCGGGAAACCAGTTCACCGACGGAGGAGTTCCAATTAGCTATATCCGTTTTTTCTTTGTCTAAACAGAGATCGGTGTTTGGCCGGGGACGGATTCCTCTGACGAATGTGCATTCTGTTGGTTTGGAAAGTTTAGTCTGGTCATGTGCGTCTTCCATCATTCGTTTGTGGTTATTATGAGGTCAGGCGGTAGACTCGTTAATAGCCTGACAAGGAACCGCAATTCCTCATTCGCTACTTTTGATCTCGGAATAGCGCACTCATAAACGAACGGTCGTCATGAAACAAAAAAACGAAACAATTAACGTGATCCAGTATGGCGCTCCATCACGAACTAACCACTTAGTCGCGCCTCGAGGCGCCAAATGGCATTCCTGGCACAACCGACGAGCACAGACCACGAGACAAACGTATAAGCAAGTCCGGTTTGTTTTTACATAAATCTGGCCTTAATGAACCCATCGGTGCAACCAGGGCGGGCGAAATGCATTCATTAAAACTTGCACGCACTCGACCCGTTCAGTGTCTCATTGCGTCAAACACTCCTACTCATTCAGAAATGTTATGCTTACATCCTCTCCCGCTGGCGTCATTTGGAGTAAGCCTTCATTAAACCGTCTAGCTGGAAGCTCAACAAGCCAATTTGTCAATTTCTGTATAATTATAACTTTGAAAAGCAGCATTTGTTTAGACACATTTAGCAAATTCTACAGTAATATATACAATGCTGTAATTTACATTTTGTTCATTTTACGAAATGCAATTTGGGACGCTTTTTGTCCAACTGACTACAAATGTCCATTCATTAGAAAAAAAATGGATTGTCTTTCAGTAAAAATAGAACATAAAAATTTCACTTCCCCAAACCGCAATTGTTAACTCTTAGCGAGGAGAATCGCTTTACCAATCAATGAAATAATATTTACACACAATCATATTCAACCAATCTACTCCATGTGGTTATAATTATGTGGATCAGAGAACAACTTCAAGTTACAAGTTATAAATAACTCCAGGTTTCGAATAATTTGTTCCAGCTGATGTTAATTTCATTTTCCCCCAACAAGACAAGCTACATCGGCATGCCCATTAATTTTGCAGCAGGCCGATTTCAAACGACTGGTTACGGGGGCTTCGAACATTACTCTTTATACTTAAAATTTTCAACTCCTTCCCCCGACAAACAAGGGGTTAGGATAGGAAATATTTCTCCCGTGTTAGGCATAATGGCTCCGCTTAGTTTGACATTTAATATTTGTCCTTTGCACACAGCAATAACTAAACGTCGATGGTCAATACTGGCCCGCCTTTTCAGAGAGGGAGGGTGGGGCGTGGTCTATCTTCAAAACTTTATTATGGACCAGGCCCTAAGAATCAAGTGATCCTACAGCGTTCGAACACTTCAGCATTTTTCCGCGGCTGAAATGCCACAACCACAAAACATCCCCGGAACACAAACTGGGCAACGGTTGTCATGTGACATTTTGAATTGTGACTCATTTGAACTCAATTCCCTTCTTCTAATACGGACCAGCCCCTGTCAATTCCCTACCCGCGCCTGGTTCCCGGCTCGCATTACAACATGATCTGGCCAGCCATGTTATCCGGAATCACACAAGAAGGATGTTCTTAATCACTGTCATGTGCATGTTCCGATTCTGCGGTCCCACACGAGACCCACAATCCAACTGCCCACATTTCCATAGCTGGAAACAAATGGCAGACAGCTAGGAATCTAGAAAATCTATTAATAGACTTGTTGCGGTTACGTAGAGGAGAAATTTGGAAAATATCACAGCCTTTTCCCTATCTTTTCAAATGCCTGCTTTAACTGGGCCGTGCTCTTTCCATGTTGCCAGACGCCTCTTGGTGTAAATACGAAATCATTCCATGGAATTCGGAAACAATAAATCTAATGCCAATGGCTATAATGATCTGTTAATAAATCAAGCAATCCTACGCTTCTGCAAAGGGATTGACCAAACGTGCCAGTTAATTTGCACTCTCGTGTAAAACCTGATCGGTTATGTCCGTTTCTCAACTGCCATTTTAGTAATGACGTTGTCAAGAAATAATACAAACTTTCGCTTGAAGTCGAAGCAATGCTGTAATTGGTGCCAAAACCAATAAAAATGCAAAAATCCTTTACCATTCAATTTCATAGCCCCCATTTGTAAATTGAAAGAAAATTTAGAAGTAAGTTTCTCTAAAATGCATCGTTTGTATGAACTCATTAACTGTATACTCCTCTTTTTTCGGGGGTTGGACTTTATTTACGGTATACTGAAATGTTTGAATGTTTTCACGGGATTACAATCTTCAGGGTTCAAATCATTTTGCATCCAAAGGGCGTATACAGGTTCTACATTGTTATTGTCTGTAGGTTCCATTGTGTTTTTACACACTTTGACGTAAAGAACGACCAAACTACATCTATATAAATTCTCACTTATAATTAATAAATACCTTAGTGCCAGCAACCGAGCCAGACCAATAACCATTATGCTGTCTGCATAATTTTACAATCTTAAATGTGCTTAAAAATGTTCCAGATTTCGAATTAAAACTTCTTCATAAACCTCACAAAAGAAAGGACAGTACGCCCAGCTTGTCTCAGTTCTTAAATGCCTTTAAGCACCGCCAAGAAGTCTCTTTAATCCACTGTATCTTTCCGTTATAAAACGTATATATTAAGATTATTCGTTCGCCCAGTCACAACACCTTAAAATATGCGTAATCCATTCCAGTCAATTTGCAACCGATTAAAAAAAAGGATACCGCGGTAACTGTATAAATTCCAGTGTAATATAACCGTGCAGTGCTCATTAGCCCTAAAGGAAATTCGTGAAAGATACACTGACAACATTTTGTACTGTATAAAAGCTAAATGCAGTCAGAATTATCAAAATGGTCGGTGATACTGTTGTACAAAAAGATGAATGGAATTCTATACAAGTTGTAGAAATACACAATGTATCTTGTCCTACGATGTAAAGCAATCACTGCGTTTGTTTATTCTGTAAAAAAAACAATGAATACATTTCTCTTTCAGAAATGTCAAATTTTCAGTATGCTTACAACCTCCGCTGTGTTTATGTCCATCGAATTTATGAAGTCATTCAGTTTTCTTTTTAGCGACGTAAATCAGATTAAACTTATCTTTAGATGGCGTCATGGTGACGTCGGTAAAACCGACCTCTTCGAGCATTTTCACGGCCATTTCACGACCCCACATCGTGCCCAGTCCCGCCCCATCCTCGAAGCTCAGCGACACGGGCATGCAATGCATGAGGCTGATGACGTAACCGTCGATGGCTCGCGGGTTCCCGACGTTCTTGGAAGGGTGACTGTGCACGTTGAGCTCAAGCATGCAGTAGATACCGCCGGGTGCCAGTGCCCGGTGGGCCCCGTTCAGCACTATCCGTGGATGCGCCATGTCGTGCATGGCGTCGAAGCAGGTGATGAACCCGAATTGTTCCACCCACTGTCCCGGCAGTGACGCAGCATCTTTGATGATGAAGTGACAGTTGGACAGACTGAGTCGCTGGGCCTCGTTCCGGGCAAATGCAATGGCTTCATCCGAGATGTCAATGCCATAGAAGATACTTCGAGGGAACCTTTGTGCGAGAAGAAGTATCGCTCTTCCCCGACCACACCCAACGTCTAGGCATTCACACCCAGATTCTGAAAATGAAGGAAATTAACGATTAGCAAAAGGCCCTTCTGAAAATCCCCTCATCTGTGAGTAGTGTACATCGGTTGAACGGAGGCTTATCTCTTTATGTGCCCCGTGAGGCTTTTGAATAGCACTTTTGGTGCACGTAAACAATCCATACCCTTTTCCAACAAGGGACTTTGACAGCGTTGTTGTGGTGTCATTGGAACCTAACATCAACCAATCCAGCAACAAAATCCCGCGCTCTATGAACTGTGTTCACAGTGATATTGGGTTATTAACAGGTATATCGCAAGCAGTATGATACATTGGCTAAATTATTATACACAAACTTATATTATCCGGAGTGGCGTCCTGCTCGCTCCCAGAATGCAACGCGGCGAGCAATGGTACATAAACTACAGGGCCGAAAAGGGTACACAAGAGAACTGTGCAAAACACCGGTTGGCTGAAGGCGCGAGCACGCCGTGGCCCTACTGCATTTTCTTGGCAGAGATGTGTCCCTTATTTTCTGTCACCCCTTTACACACTTCTCCTGTACCAGTTTGATTACACGGCACATTAAGTGCCTATGGCGTCAGGTCCAAACTAGGGCGTGACAGGCTTGACCATCAAGGTCGTTTGAGCTGGCAACCGTGCTAAGTAGGCTATGAACTGGACACATTTTAATACTTCACGCGTTGAACCGATGGAGCTCGGTCAACTACATCCAAAACACAGCTGGTTTTGCCATTTAGACTCAGCGTATTTTGTGAAAATTGTAAGTCTTTCGAGCGCGTATAGCATTTTGACTGGGTTATGTCAACAGCGCGCGTGCCTTCGGAATTGCACGCGATGGATTCATGGAATATACATCCTTCTCAACCCCACTCAATTTATTCAGAAAACTCACGGTGGAACAAATGTGGACCAAACTGGAGAAAATTAAAAAAAAAAACATGGTAGGAAATCAAGGAAAGAGGCTTTAAACCCTGCCGATAGAGCAAAGAAACCATAAAACAAAAACAGACGGTTTTAATTTCAATTTAAAGAAAAGAAGACACGACAATAGAAAACAGCTGGCATGAAAGGGTACGGACCTCTTTTCTTCTAGCACGTTACCTACCACTCTGTATAGGCAGGGGCAGGTAAACTCTTCGGTTTTTTTGTTTTTGTGTTTAAACACCCTGCGAATTATTCTTTTGATTTTTGTACTGACGGACAACCATGGTTGTCAAACGCTTTCAATTTGATTGGTGAATCGATCGCAAAAAGTTGTCATTTGTCATAAATACAGGCCCATAGGCCGAGTTTGCAGTCCATAGTTTCAAGAATTACTCCAAGAATTGTTGATAATCTGAAAAAGTTTACCCGTGGGTATCTGCAGACTACTGAGTTGAAATAAATTTAGTTCATAAAGGGAAAATGATCAAACCATTTTCTGAATGCTTTCGCAAAACTCATGGCAGACAAATATGATTAAAAACGTGTATACATGTACAAACTTTTGTAATCAGAGGTAATGTAGGTGTGGATGCCACAAATCCTGACTCATGTGCATTTTGAACTTTTTATTAAACAAAAAAGCAAAGATGAGTCTAGTCTTAACCCCAGCATGCTAAGAAATTACCGTCTTATTACAAAACAGTACCTCAAGTATAAAACAAAACAATTTCGCGGTATAACATTTCTGGGCTGATTGCCCCCAAGGCTGTTTGTCCTACAACAGAAACCTATCGCAGTCCCACATTATAATGAAAACCACATATCTGATTCAGTAGCAGTGTTATACATTTCGGTTTTTACTGCTGAGGGCAGGATTTATTTGATTATTAAACATTGGAAAACGACAGTAAAACGCACAATCCAGGTCCCTAATTTCCAGCTTAACTTTCTAGCAAAAAATCATGCCCAGGACAAATGTTTAGCACTGATATCAAACATTCCGCAACGACGATCTCAAGAAAAAAAAGTGTTATATTCTCGTGTTTCTTGACGTGCAGAGTTGGCAAGGAACTCGATAACTTAACATTTTTGAAATGTGCCGATGGCACTCCCAAGTTCTCGTCTAGAAACATGCCGATAAGCGTGACTACATGAAAAACATAACCGATATCACAGGGCCAATTCGGGACCGAAGTAGGTCGGTTCCAGAGACGAGACAAACCCAGTGTGAAAACATTAATGTCACTCCTCTTTCTTTGGAAAATGTTCAAATGTGATCAAGAGGAGATAAAAACGAAGAAAATGCCACCTTCAAAAAGAAAGTAGGTGGCAACAAACTGCCAAAGGCTCTTCAACTTTGAAGACAATAACAGCATCTCCGAGACAAAAGAAATGTACCTAAATCCACTCAAATTTTCACATTTATATGGCATCAATCCGTAATCCCATTTTCGACGAATACAAGTAGATGCCATTCTACTCCCGCTAATCAACTTTAATCTTTGCAGATAAATAAACCATGGATGTTTTCAAGGACGCTCTTGCCAAATTTCAAATTTCAGTAAAATCAACTTCTTATTCCATGGCTGGGGTTTGAAGGGACAGAATTACGGCTGTGAGATAGGTCATATGCAAGGAGACGCACGTCACACACAAGCAGAACTTACTAAACAGGAAATATGTTACATACCGGTAATAATGCTGGGAAGAATTATATTGCTTTGGAGTTTTGCGTCTCGTTTGAACTTGAATACCTTTCTTAAAAAACCCCGGGAAAAATCACCTTAAAATAATTTCCCTGGTGTGATATTTAGATCACCAATGTGACGGCCAAAACAAGATAAGGGTTACAAACAAGGTCATTATGGCTAGTAATATGAGAACACTGTACAAAATTTATTACATAAAGGGAGAAGTCCTCGCTTACCGATACGTCCTCAACTGTCGGTGCAACTCAAAGTACGGATCCAGAGGTTGGGGGAAAAGGGGCCCATACCTCCCCTCCAATAAAAGAGCCAAAACTTTCTTTTTGAGAAATGGTGAGAGAAGGCGAATTTTTTAGTCTATCTCATGTCACTTCTTTTAAAAAGCGTGTAAAAAGCTTCTTAAGCAGCCTTTCCCCCTCATAAAGACCACAAAAAGCTACACGGCTCCCCCAAACAAGTTTAGCCTTCCCCCAAAGTCTGGTTCTTGATGAGTGCTTGGAAGGCACAACCAAGTGAGGGAGCGACCATAGTTACCTTGGTAAGCCCCTGGGTTTTGGCCTTAAATAGACGAGTCCCGCAAGATTTTTTTAAAGAATGTCATGTTCCTTGAGGCCCTACCTCTGGGCAGTTTTCGCTCAGTAGTTTTCCATTCGCTCAACACAATTTGACGCTGACAAAACCCATTAATACGCAGAACGAAAAGTCTTAGCGATCATTTTTTCTAACTTTTGTGCAACCTTGTATACTCTTCTTCTTTGTATCTAAAATTATTCGTGCTTTTCTGTACAGCTGAGGGCGCTTTTGCTTTGATATCAGTTTGCGAAGACACTGTTCATTTTTAGGTTCTTCTTTCAGAATTGTGAATCAAAATTGCAATATTGCAAAATATTGGGAAAAATTCCAGCTTTTCATATTTGCACAAATCAGTGAACATGGACGTTTTCGTCCTGAATGACATCATCACATCGTTTCTCATCCCAATGTTTAAAATAGGAAGACAAAAATTGAACATAAGGTTAATTTGGAATCAGATGCATTTTCAAGAGTTGTATTAACCAAAGTACATTGCAAAGACCCTTTAAGGAGCGACCCTTCCACCACCGGTTCAAAGGGCCAACCCCTTCACCACATGATGTAAATTCAACATTACGAATTTTCGAGTGTAATTATTTCTTCCACAAATGACACCGGGCCCCGCACTAGCTTTGCCTGTAAGCAAGCTTGCCAACTACGCGGGGCAACTTTGCAGCAAAGACAGCCAGAAGACCCACTCGATTGATGTTGGACTGCTGGCATGCGGACGTTTACGTGCATTTCATTCTCACGAAATGATTTCACATCATGCAGCTCCATTTGCCGACCTCACAGGGCCTCATGTCATAGAGAATGGTTTCTTGCTAATGACGTATAAAGATACTTAATTTTTGAAGTTAGTCCATTTGAGATTAATTCGGTGTGTAATGTAATAACTACCACCATTATACACAGCATCCCGGATTTTTTCAGCTTTGATAATATATGTTTACCCCCAATATTTAGAAAAGTTCTGAGTACTTTTGGAAATTATGGCTCAAGATAGACTTATCTCCACAGAAGAACTACCGTTGGTTCCGTGTTTGCAGCTTGGCAGAAGTTTTGTTTCCTTTTCAAACTTTTATTTCGAAATTTAAGATTAAATCCTTCAAAATGGTGCCAAACCCATCAACCCCATGCCAAGAAGGCAAGGGTTCTGATATTCTGTACTAATTTTTGAGCTGTAATTTTTTGGTAATTTAAACAGATTCCTAGTACTTAACGCTCATAAAGATCAGAAACAAACAATCGGAATTCCAGTGTTTGCTTTGCTCGTGTGCGATAATCCCAGAGTTATCTGTGAAGTTTTTCTGCCGACTTGGCCTCGTTCGTGGATACCGGGTCACAGTGTACCGTTCCCTCAGTAACAGCGCGCATGCATCTCTCTGACGTTCTGTCTGTGTGTGGCACACACCGACAGTCAGACACGTTCATCGGCACTTTATTTCTCAACCACTTAGATCGATTGCAGCTTCCGATGACAAACGGGGTCCAGCTTCAGCGCGTGTTGCCGAGCTTGTTAAGGTCGTCATTAGTTCCCCAACCGTGAATTACGGCTCGCCTGAAGCCGTACGACACGGACCATCTTTCACCAGAACCATCAGTTTGTATGCGAACACCCTCTACCGAAGCAAAACAAAGCGACGTGATTTGTATATAATTACCGACGTCAATGGGAGCTGTTAACCAGATTGATTTTATTTTGTCGATGTCCCGCGGGTGTCGTTCGTTAACAAGCCTGGCGTTTTCTACTGGCCGGTCACGCCTACTCCAGTTTATTGCCGACGTCCCCAAAACCCACACGCGAAAAACCTCAAATTGTGACGCGTTCAATTTTTCTTTGTACTTGTGCGTATGCCACAACGACTGTACATGTACATCGATCGTGCCGGGATAGTCGAAACGGGTTGGGTATACATGTACTTCAATGTAATTGGCCAGGGTTATAATTCTTCCGCAACAATTTCATTTTATGGAATGCTCACAAGTCCCCCTTTTTTCCATCTGGTTCAGGTCTACGTTGCAAACAGACGCCGATTAAAAAAATAGTTCAACTTAACTAGGTAAGATCAGGACAAACTGCAACTTTTTTTTTCACTCAAAATTGTTCCACTCATAGTTGAATTTTCTTTCAAAATAACGTCGGGAAAGAATGCAAAATAAATGAAGCTACAACTCACTATGCGTCAATATTACGACACTTCTTATTTTCAAAACGTTTAATTAAATGCCTTACGATTAGTGCATGCTATACAAAAAAGGAAACCGAAATTAATTAATCTGTTTCTTGAACGTGACGAATTATTTTTGTAAATGGTATTTATAATGTGTTCAGTATGATGTCGTCTTTCGTACGACACCGAGAAATCTAAATTTCTGTCATTACAGGACTGAGTACAAAGGGGTTTAAGGGAAATGGCTTCGCACTAAATAGCTGTCGGGTGTTAAAATTCATACTGTCCAGAGATGGTGACAAATCAAGTGACATACTCACCGAGCTTTGGCATTAGACCTGGGATGGAGGGTACAACGTCAGGGATGAGCGTGGTATTGTGAAGCATGTTTGACATGTGATCCATAAACTGGTGAAATTTACCGTACTTGCTGTAGCTCACACCTGCGTGTATAAAGGACAGAAAACATATTAGGGACTGGATCGGCGGTGTCCGAAAAATTGGGCAAAATGTTGAGGTTGGAAAATCCGCGGTCAGAATTGTATTTTCTTGGTGTGAAAAGTTGGAAATGTCTCCTTATCGTGCACGTGTACTTTCTTTTCAAACTGTCTTGACCTATGGTAAGAACCATTGGTGTCGTCAGCTTTCTCTTCTGGGGCAGGAGTTTTACCAGGGGGATGGGGCTGGGCAAAGCACTTATCAGCAGTAAATTGATGGTGATACATCAGTAACGATGGCAGGTGTCAATTCCCAGGTATTTTCAAACATACTGCTGGTACACGTATTCATTACAATTCTTATTTTTTCATTTCTGTCGCTTTTCTTTTTTTTTTTTTAATCTTTTGCTCCCGGGCCACCGGCGACGCCCGCAGCAGGAACTCATATCACTGACAGAAAAGAAAAATGATTCAATGAACAAAGACTCCGTAAATTGAAACCCAATTTTTCAGTTTTGAGACGTTCGACTTGTTCAATCAACCAAACTAAGATGGGTTCGGTTTGTTTGTTAAAACTGCATAAGTTGACCATTAAATCACAATAAAAGTTATGAGCCATTACTGATGAGCCACCCTGGTACAAACTTTGGAATACCCCAACAACAACAACAACAACAAAAATCGCCACGTTCTCATTTACTCTCGGCAAGGAAGTGGAATTTAAATCAATGCATGTTGCCTAATTAAGGACATAAACTCGCTATAACAGATTGCACCGGATGGAATTAAAACCAGACCCTGCTCTACAAACCACACACAAAAAGTAGAGTTACAGACAATGATTTTGAGTTTGACACATCGGAGCGTACGACAAAACCCGTAACGACGAAGTCTTCCCATCGACTCGTGCAGAAACAAACACGGACTATCACGGAAAAGGCCGTGCTTCTGTATTAAATTCCAGTCAAATTTCAAAAATAATTTGTTAAACAGGGATGTGTTCCTTGAGATTTCAATGGTTTGGCATCTGGAGTTCTGCTGACAAGCTGGGGAGGTCCATCTAAATTCCTCCCCCCAAAAAAATGCAGAAATAAAGCAACTTTACCGCGAATTTCGTTGAAAGGTACCACGGTGGGCTCTGCTGGCGCATTGTACTGTAAGCGCCCACCATGGAGGCGGACCCTCTTAATCCTCCGTCGACCCTCGGGGATGCGGAGGGTCTTAGTGGGGCGGACCAGGCTAATTCCGGGGGTTTATGTTCCCAATATTCGGCATCTGTTTGGAGGCTTTGTGCGAGTTGCACTATAGAAACCGCAGCAGGTCCCGCGGGGCCCTGGACCAAGGGTGTTGGGGATTGGCAGTAAGAGCGTTTGTCATCGGGCACGATGGTGTGGTAGGGTACGAATCAGGGCTGCGGGCGTTGCGCTGTGCTACTCCCAATAGCACAAACGTCGGCGAGTTTCTATATAAGTTGTTTACTAACACAAGTCTTTTATTCGCTCGTTGGTCTCCTGGTTTTCAATGCTAGAAGTGCAGCCACCCTCCATAATAACACAAAATTGTTGACTTAGAAAAATTGGGTTCTTTTCAGTCTGGACCATGCTTGAAAGAGCCATATTCAAGACAAGGATTTGGCGGTTGAGTCACCTGAGAATGTCCGCCCCGTGTTGTGGGATAGGGTGCCTTAATGAGGCGTGTAATGTGATCGGTCGGGATCAAGCTGGCTGGTTTAGGGGAAGTGAAACGCTTTGTGGCCGGCAATTGTAAGCATGCCGTGTGCGGTGTAAATACACCAGCTTAGTGTCCAGCGTTTAGTTCAGGTTAATAAGGTCAACAGGTGGATGACCGCTATTTAAAGCAAAGGCAGTCAGATTTCTTTCAAGCCTTACCGCCTTAAATTTTCAAATCATTCCCCTTTTCCTCCTATTTCCTTCTATTTCGATTCTTTCTTTTATGTTGAGTGGTTTTCGGAGATTCTGTCATAGAGAGACTTTTATTTTTCATGAATGTTCATTAAGGTTTTATTATTTTTGCCGCAATTACGATTGACGTTACGAAGAGGTCACACTTACCTGCGGGTCCGTCTCTTCGGAAACAGTCGGCAACGTCATCGTAGGCTTCGCACAACATCGGAATCAGTCGACTGAAGGCGACGACATTCATTGGGCCATCCACCAGAAAGGGACGTCGCTCTGGCGGTACATAGTACGTGTTCTCAGTTGGGTCAACATCCACAATGCGGCCGACGACCATCGCCCCTAACCACTCACGTACGTACCTGAGTGTGAAATCACATGGGCAAGGCATTATCAACACTCAACATTTTTCTGCACATGGGAATGATGTGACGTCCTACAAGGATGAAGGAACGGAGACGCTTCCTTCCATGAAGATTCGAACTTCTCCCAAGTGGCAAGATGCCAGGCTCGAGGAAATGACATGTCCAGCTACCCCACCCTATTTAGCTCTGAAAGCACCGTGCAAACAGGTCATTCATTTCCCCGTATAGGCACGGTTGTTGCCATTATATGCAAGCACAGGTAATTGGTTGTGACTTTAATGCATGATAAGGGGATGTTATACTAAAAACATATGTCCCAAAAGACAGCCCCATTAATGATCAACAGGATGGCCTATACATGTACATCACGTTTCTTTCTTCTTAGAGTGGGTGGGATGGGGGTAATTACGTATAACCTTGTGGGGTTATGGAGTAACAACCAACATGCTTCGTTTAGGTACCGTATAAAACAATGTCATGAATGGCTACCACCAAGTAAACATAACTGTTTTACCAAAGTACAGATTTGACATTCTGGCTAAACTTGCCGACTGCAGACGAAATTTAGGTCGATTTCATTTTGCTCATTTGCTAAAACTGTTCTGTACAAAATGAAACGACGCCCGGTGCAATTTTCAAGAAAGTGGAACTCCAACTGCCAACGTGAAAAGCAGATCGCCCCAGATACATGAATTTGCTGTTGTACGTTTTGGTCATCGTGTATCAAAGCCCCGCATACTTTCATCTTAATAAAATAACGTACTGCTGTTTGGTTAAAAAAAATAATATGAACACCTCCAGCGTAACTCCCTTCTGCTGGCGGGGGAGGGGTACTCCCGCCCCCAGCCTGCGCCCTTGTAGAGGGGAGTGAAGACATTTTTTTCTAATCGGATTCATTATAGGCAGACCTCAAAAGGGAACATTAAGAACGCAACAGTATGACAATTTTGCCGAAAAAAAGACAATTTAGCAAAAGATTTTTGACGTCACATTATTTTGAAGTGGCACTCACCCGTTCAGACTTTCACGTATATCATAATATGGACGACATTTCTATGACGTCATAATCATCACGTCTTTCTTAACTGACTGACAGTACAATGAACCAGTAACGTATAACCAAGAATCAGCTCACCCGCTGCTGTCTTTTGTCAACAGGATTACATTAATCATAGTTTTCCCCAAAACAATCGTCAAAGAACATTAACACCCGCCGTCAACTCTGTTAGCAAGGAGACTAGGACAAGGAGGGTGGATATCCGTATACTTTGCTTTGTTTGTTTTCTGTTTTTCTTTTTCCTGTCTCGTTTTCACGTTTTATGGATGTATGAGGTTAACTAAGAGAGAGATTCTTATTGGTGAAATTTCTACAATGAAGGTCGGAATACCTGTTCTACTTCACTTAACACATTTTTCTTTGGTGGAGCTCTTGATCTCAGTTTCTTATTCCCACTATTATTTAAAAATCTTTCGGCGAGGTTCAACCAAGCGTTTTTATCCAGGTTGAGTCCGGTTCAAGTAGAGCTATAGTTTTAATCGGAAAAGCCGGCTTGTAATCGCGTTACATGCACTGCACGTTGCCCTACCTTCTTCGGGTGGTTGCAAGTGTAAGCGTTAAATCGGTCACCGAAACCTGATAGCCTGTTCGTGTTTATTACATCTGCACCGCGAAACCTGCATTACACTCTTTTTTTCGATTTGCACATAGAAAACTAAATATTAGTTCCATTCCCAAACCATCCTACAGACCTTCCACAGTGTCATTATCAACAGCGGCGGAACGGTTTTAAAAATGGGGGGGGGAGCCCCGGCTATTAGACCGAAAAAATATAATTATAAAGTTGCAAATGTACCTCCAATGGCAGGTAGGCCAATGGAGGGGATAACTACCTTTCAAAGTTGGGGGAGGGGAACGGCCCCCAGCTCCCCCCCCCGTTCCGCCGCTGTCGGTCATTATAAGTGTCCAGCGGCGTGGACCAGGGCTGGACTCGATACAGTTCGTATGGTCCGGTCCGTACGCCGGGGGGGGGCTCACCCGCAATCCGTCCAGCCTGGTTTCCAAGATCGCTTATACCGTGTAGCGCGCCTGCCCCCGAGTCGGTAATGTGACGTGGTGGGCGTCTTGGTTTAAAGAATAGCTGATTGCTAAAATTACGGGAATTGACCGGAGACTCGAGTTCTCACTGACATGAAAAATGGTCGGACGGTCAAAATGATTTTAATTTGGGAAACCTTTGAATTAAAAGCAAACTAAGGGGGTAGTTTGTTCTCAGAGCGGATGCTTATTTTGCAGATTTTGGGCGATAATCGCCTGACTGGAAAGCATTGTTAAGTTTATGGTCAGAGATCAATATACAAGACATTCCGGTCATACAACATCAGCGCACCGTTTCTTTAGCATTTTGAATATTCACACATTACCTGTGTAATCATCGGTATTTAAAGTCATTACATTTTTATTCCAAGTTGCGTTTTCAGTGTTGAAAATGATGATATATCATTTTCAAGAACTGGTTCTTGCACGATATACGTAAAATGGCTTCAGTGATAAACTAAGAGAACTGTGGAATCGTTTAAAATCCTGCAACACGCGTCATATATTGTAATCAGAAGTTCAGACAGTGCCAGCAACAACCGAAGTGTCCTCCGCCACCCTCAAAATAGAACGAGGGCGAATCAAAAACCACATTTCGGGTTGGGGGTTAACCTGTTTTAGCCTTTCAGGTTGTTGAGGGTACATTTCTGTGCTTTTTAAATGGTTTTGGAAGGAAGGGAAAGGAAATACAACAAAACAAAATCGTCTTTCTCTCGTTGGTTAAAAAGGATTTAATCGTGGCCATTACTGTTCCGGAGTCGACCTTGGAAGGAAATATGGCTAAAACACCGCAGGTCAGATCGTTAACCTTTGTAGGTGTTCTTTGTTACGTCACTGTAGTCAGTATAGCAGTTTCAGAAGTTTTTGTATTATACATTTTGCTCATCTCGCGAAACATGAACAGAAAACGAAACGAACCTAAGAAACTATAGGTCTATTTTTTCATCGGTATACTGTGAAAAACTGTAAAATTAAAAGTCACAATCAAACAATTTTAATTTTTCGTGCTAAAACAACTAGCATCACAGAGAGTCATTCACAATTAGGGGTATTTATCTTTCTCGTGTCCCCGCTGCCAAACTTTGAAGATGTTCAAGAGAGAAGTTCAAGCTCACCGGTTTAAAAATCAAATTCTGACGAATTAAAACTCTAATGTAACTTGAAATACGCAGAAGGTATAGGCTGCAAAGGTTGCATAGGCTGCCTTCATTGTTTTGTCTTTCTTCAAACACCCTGAATATTGGAACAAAACGTCTCCATATAAATCAGACTTGCCTTTAGCTGTTACAAGTGATTAAGGATAAATTAATTGGGTCAACTCACGCTAAATCAATTTTGTATTGTTTCATTCCAATTCAGTTCAATGCTATTTGCGATATTTCTTGAATGCTAATGGTCTGCTTCACACGAACACACAAAGAAGGAATGTGATTCACCGCCCAACCACTCAAGTCTAATTTATTTCAGTGTTTGTTTAGACAATGAAGCCACGGATGTTTTGACTCAATCGCGAATTTATTTCTTTGCTTCGACATTTTGATCCGGTAACGAGAAGCGCTGCTAACTCCCGAAAATTGAGAACACAATAACAACAAACATTCGACGAAACAACAGAATTTATCACATTCGTAAAGGCCCCGAATGCCGATGGAGGTATTCGACGAACCGCGACCACAGTCTTCCCACCATGTCAAATATTTTCGTATTGGTGAATTGCAAAAATTTTTCGTTATGTCATTCAACGACAGTTTCGTTCTCGGCTGATTATTCACTCCATAATTTTTTCAGGCATCTTGCGATGCGGTCACTGCAGAATTACGGAAGTGCCTCACAACCAAACACCTTGACCTGTCGGTCAGGCAGATATAAAAAGATGCCTGAAGCAAATGTGTACTGTTATGTACCACCTCCTATGAAAAAACTCATAAAACAACCCAACTGCAAGCTGTTCCACCTTGCTTTGTTGAAGGATAGTACCGTAAATTCTTTGGCCGAGAGCGAAACTTCAAAGCTTGCGGAAAGACAGGAAGAAAGTGTCACCAAACTCCCGACATTTGCGCCCTAAATGAGTATTTACATAACGTGCATTAATTTTAGCATCTCTTTAGGGTCTAATGTCTTGCAATACCGACCTAACTGTTCTGGCTTATTCGATACCCCCTTTTAATCTTTTTCTCACAGTTTGGAAGCAAAGACTGTTTCTCCACAATGACAGAAATTTTGTTTACCACTGACGGCGATCAGCGGCTTGACTAGGACAGAGCGAGACAGCAGTATGAAGTTGTTTAAAAGCAGGCGAATCTTACTGCACGCTCGATTCAACAACGCTGGGAAATAAAGACTTGAACTTTTTACCTTTCTTTGAGTCCTGCCATCTGCGCGATCTGTGAACTTGTCGAAGGTTCCTGTAAACCTCCCATGATCTTGAGTAAGCCTGTCTCAACCCCTAGGCTGAGGGCTACAGTCATGGTCGCCGAATTGATCATCTTCATGATCCTGTGGGCGAATTCCTGGGGACTCTCGAGTCCTTGATCGATCGTCTTACCCTTCAGGATGTCCATGGCAACTCCCCCGAAACAGGGACGATGTCTTTATCACCCAAGGATGGAAAGAGTTGTGGCGGTCCAGTGTTGCATCGGGTCCTTTTATAGGGTGGGCATGACAACTTTCGAAAGGAATTTCGGAGATTTCTTTATCCGGGGAAGTGTGACTTTGACTTTTGTAGAAGTGATTCCGGGCAGGCTTAATTATCCACTGGAAGAGAGACCTAGACTGTTTCATTGGTCTTGCTGGGTAAGACTCAGAACCGCTCAGTTACTTGGAGTTGCTTCTTTTATGTTCTTGAAGTGCTTTTTATTGTAGGTTTTTTCTCGAAGTGTTTTTCTTGTTCTAAGCAGGGTATTCGATGAGAAAAAAAATAAGTTCCATTTTAGCGGAAATTTTAATGCCTTGGTCTTGAGAGTGACGATTGTCTTGCCCTCCACCCCTCTCGCTTCAATGGAATCTTCTTAGAGTCACTCCCGTATACCGTGTGACGTAGCATTTGGCGCGTAACTTTGTGTCCCAGGATACACCTTGACATAGCTTCATGCGTAGCGCTAGAGTCATTATGGTCGCTCGCGCTGTTAATGAGATTGCCTGCAAGGCGTGTCATTCCGTCGTGCCGCTGTCGTTACTGGACCGTGACACTGCCTCTTCTGACCCGACGCACAGTGAGCGCCACCCGGCGTGTGGGAGGCACGCGTAGTGAAAAACACTCCTGGTACAGAACTTTGAATAATTCAAGCAGATAATTTACGATGAGTATTGCCCTTCACAGGCTGTCACGGCTGGCTAAGGAGTCAATCATAACCTCCAACTATCCCCTCCCGAAGTTCCAGTTCAAAATATCTCACCCAGGGATTCCATTTCCCCTTTTTCTCAGACTGCCAGTTTGAAGTTAATTTCTCTGCACTGCAAAATTTTGAAGTTAAACCAAACAAAAGCTGATGTGCTGAACCAGTGCTCTTCTACATGTATAGTGTAGTGCATTTACACCATGCAGAGGTTTGAAATTGTGGATTTTAGTAAAATGGGCTATCCTGTCTATATTTTGGAGGACAATGTTATGATAGAAAGTTGAACAGGAAATAAGGACTGCACACTTTAACAGAAGAAAGGCGAAAAACCCTAAGGCGTGAAAATCACCAAGTTATGTGTTTCTGAGGGTTGTGCCTTGGTTGTGTCTTTGCCTAACGATCTTTTTAAAGACGTCATTGGTCTGTAGCTTTGCAAGGGGGCAATCAGTTCGAGCGGCTGGGATATCGTCACGTGGTCCTACTTCTTAATTTAATCTGGAGTTCATCGAATTCAGGTCCAGACAGTCTTATTATGATACATGAGTGCGACCGCCCAGCAAGGCTTTATCAGCAACTACAATACCCACATGATGACTTATAAAGATAAAAATGAACATGAAACAGTTCATGGGAATAAGTATGCTTGCCAACGATCGCCCCATGCGCAAAAGCATTCCTACATAATGGTTGAATAAGGCGACACAAAACGTGACTCGTGGAAAACGTGTTCACACTTTCGGGGGGGGGGAAGAGGACATGTTTTCGATTGATGGGGTGGGGGAATGGAACTTACCGATTTCATTTTGGATTAAACCAGGGATGCGTCAAGATTAAGTTTGAATGATTTCTGCACTTTCAAGATATGAACGTTGGCTGAGTCATTCGAGGAGGAATGGCGGGAAAGGATGAGTCAAAATAGGATGGAGTCATCAACTCTGATGATCACTGATGAGCTTCATGTTATCAACTCTCATGGGATGGAGGAGAAAATTGCCAGGCGTAGTGTGGCAGTTCATAAATTGTATTCTGTCTGCGGGGATTCACTCACAATTAACAGTGGTTTATTCGTGAAATCGTTTAAAATCCTGTCCTCAAATTATTTGCAAAATTACACATTACATGCTCGATTTTATCGTTTGTATTTTGCGACAATCGTATTCAGAATGTAAAATTTATTTTTGACATTTATGATTGGAAGGTTTTGTACAGTGGACGCGGCAACGAGACGAAGGTTTGCGGTCGCATCATGTAAACATCTCTACTGTGGGTGAGTGACGTTGAAAGCGAACCAGTAGACAATTCAGGTAGTATTACCGCTGGACTGAGAAGGCATACCAACCGATCCTCCCGGTTTTAATTACTAATTTAGAAAAATATATGCAGGGTGATACCGCAAATCTTTGTCTCATTTTTCATTAGGTTTCTCGAAAGGCGTTCATTCTTCTCAAAATACCTATGCAATTTGAAATTTTCTTTCCAGCGTCGCTTCGCTGATAAATCGCTGCCACGGCAGGGTTTAACTTATCTGAGTTAATTAATGCAATAACGCACCATTGGGGAGGCTAACACGTTAATTGCCCCGAGCTCCGGATGAACTGAAGTGTGCTATGGGAGTTCGACTTTCCTCGTGATGGACCAGCGTGACGTATTCACTTGTCAATTCATTATCAGTCATTTGTGCACATCTCAAGGTTTCTGTTTTGAGGTATTGACTTATGGGACTCCAATGTTAAATGTTTTCCATGAGTGGGTTTGGCGGGTCGGGTGCGTTGACTGCAAAATTGACCCTGCATGGCCTTGACTGAGGAAATGTTTCAGCGCAGTCAAGTGTCTTTTCTCCAATCAAATTTCATCCCAAACGTAGTTCGGGCAAGGGCATTGCTCTTTATGACTTAGTTCATCATATGTCAATACACCTGTAATGATATGAACACCTCCGCGCGCGGATGAGATTTGAAGCTTTGAAGCTTTTCATCATGATGGTGGTAGCAAGTAAACTAGATAGGTTTGCGGTAGCACCGTGGATACTTCTGAGTATGTGGGGTTCTGAAAAGAACCGGTGGTACTCAACGTTTCGGGCAGTATGCTGTGTCCTGGCAGTCTCGATCTTGACGATGGACACAGCATACTGTCCGAAACGTTGAGTACCACCGGTTCTTTTCAGAACCCCACATCATGACTCAAAAAAAATCTATCTATCTCCATGGTGCTACCGCAAACCCATCTAGTTTACTCAACGTACCTCTGCTATCCAGCAATGCGTTTCGTTGCGGTTACTTTATATAATAGTTCCCCCTCCACACGCATCGGTTTGTGCATTGAGCATGCATGGCCAAAAAGTGAAAAATTTTGCCTATATCTTGGAAAAACTGAAATATTTTGCGGTAGCGGTATGTCAATTTTTCATGAAATCAATTTCAACATAAACTCCTCTCGGCTCTATACCAACGGTGATTAAAATTCGTCACGATTAATGATATCAGGGAAAAGTTATTCAACAGTGTACATGTGTACGTATTCAAACATCAAATCTTTAACGTGTATAGGGACCGTAAAGGGTTCGCCACTGGATGTGAGTCCATGATTGGGAAAACCCGTTTACAAGTCCTACAAGTTCTTCAAAAAAGTTAAAGTCCAACAATAGGAGCTCATACCCTTTTTTAAAGGAGGAAGCAAAACTACGCCCACATCCTATAATTTCCTGCAGTCACATTACATGCCATGGTTGAGTTTAACAGTGCTCAGAACTTGAATCCCTTTAATAGTCTTCGAGAAACCATGAATTATATCCAGAGAAAAGTGTACGATAAGTAGGTAGTTAGATGCCGACCATTTTATATGTATATTATTTGTTTTTCAACCTAAGGATAAAATTGCTACTCACATCTTGATCACAAAGGCCTACATTTCCCCCTGAATTAGGGGCCTAAGTGACCTCCAACAGCGACATTTATCGGGGGGGGTGGTACGATCGCGAGGTGAATCCATGGATCCACTGCCATTACGCTAGCATCATGTAAATGGATTCCCTCTCTTACACTCGTCTCTGTTCCAGTTAGTCCGCTGAGGCATGCAGAAAACAGCCACTAAGTTCACATTTTCCAGCCCTAATTCCCTTGGCCTGCTCTACCTGCTTTCAAGTACTGAATGCCTCAACTCGAAAATTCAAAGGGTATCGGACAAATTTACAGACTAGAGCAATGGCTTCTTAGGCAGTGGCGTGGCCAGGGGGGGGGCTGGGGCACTGATCTTAGTCTTACATGGTCTTACAGGCCAACTATTTTTCTCATGGGGCATAACGCAGACCTTGAATTTAAAACTACATGATTTGATTTGCCCGATAACCAGAACTTGAAAACAGTCACTATCCTTGTTATAATTATTGCTGTCTGTAATGTTGCAAAAAATACATGGG